TCATGAGGAAACTTGCATGTCTAAGGAAACGTAAGATATTTTCGAAAAATAAAAGCATTTTATACCCTATTCATTGAAGGAGGTTATGTAGAATTTAACATCATGCTAGAATCCATAGGAGCGTGAAGACTATACATTAATAAACTACGCGAGCGGAGGGCAAAAGCCAGCAAAAATATACACAACTAAACAAGTATAAACAATTTTCGTAAGTAAGAATGAGAATTCGATAATCAGTGAGTTCTTCATTTATTGCTGATTTTATGTGTAATAAAAGCAAGGCATCATTGCTGAGCTAGAATAAAAATCATTATGACCAAAAAATAGGAACCTTATAAGGCGATTGTAGCAACGAACTTTTAACACCTCCAGGTAAATTTCTAAGAAATTAATTACATTTCTAAGAAATCTATTGTTAACTGTAACGCCGGCGTGTCCGCGGTCGTGGATTGATTAAACAGTAGTTTGCGAAAAACATGTAAATATAAAAATTAGATTTGGAGAGTTTTGGTGAATTATATATTATTTAACCTATTTTCTTCTAAATTTTGCATATCACTTATTACTGTCGCCGATTCGTCTGAAGCTTTTCCATTCAAACAAGTTGACCTTGCTTCCCACAGTCTGCCGTTAGCGTCCAGACGGCGCCTCTCAGCCATAAATAAATGTAACATTTCATCTTAAAGTATCAATGATCAAATTGAAGTCAAACCTCGATATTTAATCGAATCGATAAGCATAAATTATTATTTTTTTCAATGAATAATTATAACTTAATAAGTAATTTAGGAGATTAGAAGTGTAGTGAAGTGCATTCAATACGTTTTTACTTTCAATTCTCCGACTACTTGAAAATATTATAACCATTTATAATATTTTGCCTAATATAGACAAACCTAGTCTTTGAAATCATCATTCATACACATATTAGAATATATTAAGCTTAACGTGAATGAAAAGTAGCACTTTATCATATGTCTATATTCTGTGATTACCTAAGAATCCAAGTAAAATAAAATAAAAATATATTTTCATCAAACTATTTAACATATTCATGTGAAACGATATACTTTTTAACTTTTTATCTATGCAAAGACAATTTAATCTAATCTAGGGTGAGACCATTTAGTAGGTACAATGTAACACAGACCCAAACCACATAATAAAGTTGGCGAGGTCGTTCATTCGGCGCCAACCCAACACACTTGAAACTCCTGCCAAGTAGAGGCAACAATTTCTGCTTTTCATACCATAGCACAAGGACCTTTATAAAAAAATGGGGAAAATGTGTCGATAAACAGATAAAAAAGGGAACAGTAAGGAAATTATCAGTTGTATACTTTGTTACTGTATTAAATGTTGATAAATATATTGATATAAATATATTTATTTTTAATTAATACTTAGAATTTTAATATATTATTATTTTCATAGATTAACAAACAAAGGACTTTACATCTTTGTAAGCAAAATGAAATTACCGTGTCATGTATAACATCGGTCTACTATTGGATATACGTAAATTTGTATGTATGCATGTTTATTACTGCTTCACGCCAAAATGGCTAGATGAATTTGATTGATATTTAGTACGCATACATTATGAACCGTAGTATCTCGTCGTTGCTGGCGATGTACACGAGCGAAGTGAGGATAAATTGCTAATCTTATATAAAACAAAGTCGGGTTTGTTACAACATTTTCAATTCGAGAACTGCTGAACCGATTTTTATGATCTTTGTTTTGTTGTATTTGTCTTCACTCCGAATAGCAGAATAACTATTAAAAAACCAGAAAAACTCACGAAATAAAAATTGAAAAAAAAAACTATTCCATTCTTTTTAATTTGACGTTTGGCTCAGTTTGTAGTGATCCTACTTGCTGTGCCAGCGGTCGCGGGTTCGAGTCCCGCTGGGGGGCATTCATTTGTGTGATGAGCATGAATGTTTGCACTCCAGTCATGGGTCTTTATATTCATAATATGTATGTATTTAAAGTTATATATGTGTAGTGTATCAACTATCTGGTATCCATAACACAAGCCTCGTAGCTTACCATGGAACTAGATGGTTCTGTGTGTTAATGTCCTAAAATATTTATTATTTATTTATTTTATTCTAAGCGTCAAAACGTACCTAAGGACGAATCTGAGCGAAGCGAGGGCGAGTCGCTAGTATACAATATAAAGAAAAAAATATTTTTCATTATAAAATATTTAATTTATAATATTTTATATTTTGAATACAATATATTTTACATAATAGAAACGATTGCATAATCGCAAACCGTAACACAAAAGATATGCTTCCGCTTCCATAAGGAACAATATAACAAGTGCTACGAATGCTACGAAGATGTTACGAGACGTTTTATCAAGTTACCGGCGACGTAGCACAAACCAGTCAAGCAAATCTATTCTAATATTTTAGAGTTATCGATATCAGATTCGATAAATTGCAATTGTTTTATATTATTTTCAAGCTCTCTTCTTTTAATTAATTTATATATTAATAAAAAATATACTTGTAAAATTATGACGTATAAGCAATCTTTATTTATAACCAAATCAAATAACAACTCAGAACATAATTAGTTATAAACTTATATATTTTTATTTTGATATTTTACATACATCATTTAGCCTCAAAAATCTCATATTATATCCATATATTGTGGTGTCCAAAGTCTATATAACAAGCTATCAGAGGTCTCCTTGCGCTCTATTTCATGGACGGTTGATCGTATGAAATATTATTTCGATCGTATGAAATTTTCAGAGAATCTAATACTTCCCAACTTTTGTTATGATTTAAAATATCTATTTGTTTTTAAATATTTACAAATAACAGATTTCTGTGAGACCTTAGCCAATGCCAAAATGGAATATACAAGTTTATTAAATAAAACCACTCATTTCGAGATTTACTTCTTTTTTTTTCTTATTTCACGGAACGTTATTTCATTCAATTATTCGCAAGTAATTCTTGAGCAGACAGATGGACAGTAATCAATCTATTTATTAATATCTTTAAATATCCTCCATATATAAAATTGCCAATAAATATTTAAATGAACAACTTTCGTCATGTTTATAATGCGACTGTGTTAATAAATTTCAATGACATTCATAAATAAAATCTCTTTTTAATAGGTTGATTGCTTTTAAAACCTTTGCATATTATACTGTATTTTAAATAACTTGGTTTTACCGTTCGCGTGGTATGTCAATAAAAAGTAATAGTGATATACTAGTATGTGAAATATCTTCATTCCGAATTAGGCCGTTACAGCATAAAAAAGTAATAAACATACACATACACACATACATATAAACTGTCACATTTATAATATTAGCGGGATAAATATACATAAGATATAGAATAAAATTATGAATATTGGTGGGATAAATATATATATGATGATAATAACATGATGTCTTCTGAAATTGTAAGTGTAAAAAAATTTATTATAAAAATAGAAAACCTGACTGCATAAAAGCTTACTAAAATTATGATAACTAGTTAAATATATTGATACCCTACTCGATTGGCTTGAAGACATTGTTTTAAAGATATACAAATTAGCGCCTTAAATACGCCATTTTAATTTTTAACTATTTTTATATAGCCTATGACACTCGCGTAATCAAGACAAATCTAACGACGTTACGAATCATCAAAATCGGCCTACGTTTTTGGTCTCTAGGACGCTATATAGGAACAAACATACATACATACATGGACTGATAAACACATTACCCTACTTTGCGTCGCGCAGTCGGGTAAAAATGAGTAGCCATGCTCACACTCGCATGCTTACATATGATTCACTAACGCCTGCCCGCCGTTGTAACATTCACTGTAGCACGTACGTTCATAAATAGTCATGAAACAAGTTGCCCTCATTTACGAAAAAGGCACATCGTTCAACTTAAGAAAATTAAATATACACTAAAGTCCCACATTTCTATTACATCTACGCTCGTGTCGCTCTTAAGTTTGCTAAAGATAGGTCAAGATATGTATATCCGAGATGACGTCAAATTAAACGATGATTATACATATATATATATATATATATATATATATATATATATATATATATAATCACGAAGACTGAAAAACCTGACAATATTTTGTTATAAATGTATTTAAAAATAGTAGAATTGGTCCAATGACGATGAAAGACATATAGAATTTTCAGTTTTAATATTTTTATTAATTATTCTTAATGTATATTTTATATAAATATCGTTATAACTTAACTACTTTAAACATTAACAAAATTTTCGAGAATAAAGTCCAATTAGGTTGAACTATTAAATTTTTGATGCGGTAATTTATGGATTCAAAATATACAAAGCGAATAGTTAGTGTTTTCTTTGTTTAAACGGGCTATTTTCTGATACTACCAGTACACTTAGTTTAAGAAATTAATATTTTTGCGTTTTATAAACTACCTACTAGTAGTTAAACAAAAAACAACATACATGAATCATTATAATAAAAGAATTTAAAATAAGGGTGGGCAAGCCACGGTTGGGCTAGTATATGCAAATTTGGAGTAACAGTACCTACCGTCAATGAACGAACCTACGCACATCTTAGCTAATATCGGGTGAGGGCCACCCACCTTCGTAAGATGGAATATCTATTTTTAAAAAAACCCATTAAATCTAAAATTTAATGAAATCTTTTCGGATTTTATCACAATGTAATATTGATTTTTGTTTACGTCGTTTCAAAAGCTTTACAGCAAACATGGTCATGGAAAAGACTCCAAAAAGAAAGTTTTATTTGAAATATGAAATTTTTGCGTAAATCTCAAAGACAGAATATCCAGGACCAATCTCCTCGTGTTTTTTCCATTCTACGTGACGTTAGCGAAGTAATCTGATGTAAAGTGTTATAAAAAATAAAAAATATTATTAATCTGGGTTTAAATGACACGTTTTGAACTGAACATGAACATTAAATTCATAGATGTAAAGGAATACTCACCAAAAGGCGGTTCGAACCGGCAGTCCAGAAGCAAGGCATGTCCGGTGGGCCCGGTGGTGCCGACCACCGCGCCGCCGCGCATCATCAGCTGTGCCTCCAGCTCCACCCACCGTCCTCCACACTCCTGCTACAAAAACGATTTAAGGGTTAAAAAAATCATTAAACTGCTACTTTTATATATACGTTCATTTGTATTTATATAATGTTTAGAATGATTGTATTAATATTTGTATATAAATTTAGTTGTATTATACGAAATTACCTACATTATAATAATACTTTATAATATTACAAGTATCACAGGATAATTGTTTGTTTGGTTTCTGCTTTCATCATGAATACACTTCTGAGTTGTTTTTTTTTGTAATTAATATGGAACTTTCCTTTACGAAAGAAAGGAAGAAATCGATCGATCTATCTACAAAGAAATATGTAACCAAATTGAGTATTGGAATTTGTCAAAAATACAGTAGATAATTTTAATAATCTTAATGTTTTATGAAATAATATTATAATAATACCATAAATTAGAATTTGAATAAATATTTAAATTACTTTCGTTATACGAATATCATTTAACATTATCTGAGAAATTAGTATAATACAAATATTTCAGAAGTATTTGGAGACTTTAAAAACTTAGAAGCCGCTTAATACTGAACAAAAAACCTACCCTATACTTAACTTCTCTTAGATAAGGTTTCTTTAAGTATATAAGTCATGATGTTCTTTGCGCAAAACAGAGTTTCATTTATTATTGTTAAAAAGACGATCGCGGATTTATATTTAATAAATAATTCAAATATTTTCATCAAATAATGAATTTTTGATAGACATTTCTCAACTGAAATATTTAATTAACTAGCATTGCCCCCGGCTCCGCCTGCGTTCAGGTGACAAAAAACCAAATTTTTAGGTTTTACATATTAGCATACTCTTACATTGCAGTTTTTGTATTTTTCTCCGAAATGAGACATTTTCCCGGGGTCAAAAGTATCCTATATGTTGACATACCAAATTTCATCAAAATCCCTCCAGTGGTTTTCCGTGATGCGGTAACAGACAGACAGACAAAAATTCTAAAAACTATAATAGATTCGGCCTCTGTATCATTAATAATACCTATTTCAATTAGATTTTCCAAAAAATATTTAATGTACAGATTCGGCTTAGTTAAAATTTTGTTATATGTATAGATATGTGAAATACATACTTTAAATTTTCCACATAATATAAATATTAAAAAAATAAGACCCATGTCGATGTACTCGTTATCTTTAAAACAGTAGCTTATACATTTTCAAAACCAATGAGCAATTGTGTGTGATTTGAAATCACTCATTTTAATGTCAATGATCCGTTTTTAGAGTTCCGTATCCGAAGGGTGCCAACGGAACTTTATTACTAAGCCTCTGCTGTCCATCCGCCCGTCCGTCTGTCAGAGGGCTGTATCTCATGGACCGTAATAGGTAGAGAGTCGAAATTTTCACAGAGTATGTATTTCTATTGCTGCTATAAGAAAAAATAATAAAAGTAAATAAAAATGATAAAAATACAAGATTTTTTTACGTTCGTAATCGATTATCGAAGTTAATATACTACATACATAGAGTAAAAGTCATATTAATAAAAAGTACATGTACAATAAATAGTACGCAACCCTTCATGTGCGAATTCGACTCGCACTTGATCGACTTTTGTCAAATAAATAGCCTACTAAATTATGAACAACATTATTAATCGAAAAAAATATGATGGAAAATCTCTATTTATATCGTGCAGTGAAAAATTAAAAGCTGTGTAATGGACGTGGGAAGGCGCCCGAGGAAATTAACAAGCCATTGTCCCGTCTCGACGTTCATAAAGAATTTGTACCCCGTTGTTTTAATTCAACTGCTCGGATCGGTGTTTGCGATTTTTAGTTTCTTTTATTACTCAAAATTATTTTCACGCTTTATAATCTGAATTAGTTAAGAGTTGCAAAATGATATGTAAGTGTTCTTACATTTCCACTGTATGGAACTGATGGTATTTTATTATGATTTTGTAAGCTGGTTACTTAGTAGACTTCGTTATTTTGAGCATGCTATTTCATCATGAGAATTGAAAGGAAATTGTAAGTATTTAAATAAACAAACTTTTTGACCAAGTACCATTATTTAACAATAAAGTATCCTATGTCCTTCCCAGGGCCTCAAACTATCTTCTTACCAAATTTCATCTAAATCGGTTCAGTAAATCCAGAGATTACCCCTACAACGTCACAAACTCACAAACTTTACCTCTTTATAATATTAGTATATATTATTTTTTACTAATGACTACGTAGTTACACACGCATGCCCCAAGATTATTGCTGATATATCAATGTCTGCTAAAAAACTCCGTGTGTGTGCAATTCACATATGGTAGAAGTGAAACTTAATATTATATATTTATCAGATAGCAGAATAACAACGGTTACCATAATACTTTCTTAGATTTACACGAATATTTGACATTTTACTATTTGTTTGGATTATTTCGCTGATTTGTTTTGGCTTTTGGTTCCCGACGTTTCGAATGCTTTACAGCAATCATGGTCACGGGAGAGTCTCCCCCGTGACCATTTTCTGATAAATATATAATATAAATATATTATTATATATTTATATTATATATTTATCAGAAAACTTTATATTTAAAGTTTCATTTCTACTATGTGCGAATTGCACACACACGCACCTTTTTATCAAATTATACTTTCACAAATTAAACGTATATTTAAAACGAATATATGACCTACTCGATGTAAATTATTACAATATCAATAAGTTACAATGTCTATTTATTATTCATATCGTGGGGTATTGACTATTGATGTATCAGTATTGAAAAGTTTCAAATCACAACGATCCTAAAGAAGTTTCACTTCAAAAAATTAGTTTAAATTAGTTTTTGGTTTTTTATGACCTTTTGACTGAATCTAACTTAACTACGTTCTAAATATTTGAATAATTTAAAAAAAAACACACTTTCAACACTTAATTGAAAATTATTTCTAATAAATAATAAATTATCTAATACATAATACTGTTAATACTCGTGTATATTTTTTTCCATATTTTAGTTGTAAATTATAAAAAAAAATGTATAAACTTAAATAATTTAAATATTAAACAATAAAATTTAAAATAAAATAAAATAATTACCTCATCATAAGCGACAGAAGTGAGAGGCAGGTAGTGATAGCCGAGGGCGCGGTCCCAGATTACGCCTTTGTTCCACACCTCCACAAGTAAGCCGAGATTGATGTCGTTAATTTCACTGGTGAAAAAAATTTAAATTATATTTAAAACAGTTCAAAATCATAATTACTATGGGTTACCGTAAAAAAAAATATTCTCTTTTAAAATTATGACTTCGAAAGAGAATATATTATTATATCTTTATCTTATCGTCACAATAGACCTATGAATGCGAAAACTATTTCTTTGGAAAATATTACGATTACTTGGTCATGATAATTTACAATCAATTTAACATAAATATTGAAAAGACACCAATACTGTTAGTACCTGGAAATGATAGCGGAAATGGAAATGGAAAGCTAGAGGAAGTTAATATTCGTTATTGTATGTATTCAACACTTCTTTAACGTCAAATTTCTGGATTGGAATTTTCTCCTTTCCATACGAGAGTGATAAGGCTTATAGCAACACGCTGACCAAGTGCAGGTTAACGCAGACTTCACCGTAAGGCAAGTGGTAATCATGTTGAAAATATTTCTCACATGAAAATATTACAAGCGCAAGGCCTGGGATTTTAAACCGCTTGGTTTCCCAAGCGAGTACGTTATTAATGATAAAAAATAAGCATTTAATTGTCAAACGAAATAACTATGTAATTTGGTTAACTGTCAAACTAAAAACTAGTTAGTTTAATTTTATTTGCCAATACATGTAACGAAAGTCTCATTGCACTACACAAGACTTATTTCTTCAAACTCCATTTTGTTAACAAAAGACTAGATAGAAAAATGTTCAATAGAAATACGTAACAAATGTTACTATATGTGACTTTAGTCAGTATATAAGGAACTTCATACATCTATCTTTAACCTCTTTTACTCAAAGGGTAGCGGTAAAGCGATCTCAGAAACTTTAAAGCACTTAACCGAGTTTCTATCACAGCTCGGATTTCTTTAGATTATATCAACTTGTAGGTCATATAGGTCGGTGTGAGCACGTGGTGCTAAAAATGACTTAAACAAGCCTTGAACTTTATAGGTATGTACAGATAAGTGAAGCCTAACACACCGCTCAGGTTCGATTGACAACCATTCATACAAAAAAAAGAAATTATGAATTATATTTTAACTCTCATTTGTATTATAATTATACGATTTTTTTTAATCTATACTAATATTATAAAGAGATAAAGTTTGTGAGTTTGTGAAGTTGTAGGGATTAATGCCTGGATCTACTAAACCGATTTAGATGAAATTTGGTAAAAAGATAGTTTGAGACCCTAGGAAGGGCATAGGATACTTTTTATCTCGGAAATCATCCTTTAAGAGGGCGAAAATGGGGAAGAAAGTTTCTATGGGGAATCAACCTAGGGACGATCCCGAGGGAAGCGAGGGTGAGTCGCTAGTAATGTAATAAAGTCACAAACGTTCATTTAAAAAAGTATTGTTCAATCAAAGTGTTAAAATCTGAGTAATTACAATATTAATATAATATTATTTCGCTTAATAATTATATATTGAAATATTAATGATTCAGATAAATTTTTCAAAATAATGAAAAAATATTCAAGATGTTATCATCTAGTTACAACAGATATGATATTCGTTGTTGGAAACAAACGAGATCAAATAACATTCATTCAATACATCAACATTTTATTTGAATCAGTGGTTTCACCCTCGTTCTATTTCAGTATTTTCGCTTCTTAAAAGAAAAATGTTTATTGATAGGAAGAAGTATATTGTTTGATAAGTTTTATTCTATGATATGAAAAAAAAGTAGCACTTATAGAATTATACTCTATTTACAGGTTTACCACTACTACAACAACAAGATACTATTGTATACATATTTACACCAAAATGGTACGCCTGAAGTACCAATTTATTAAGAATAGATGCCAAGAAAAGCAATCAACGTACCTATGACAATCAACGACAAGAATAATTAATATTAGCTTCTCTGTGTGTGAGAACCAAAAACCTAATTCTTAAGTTTAACATATTAGTATAGGTACTCTTACATTTCTGTTTTTGTCCTTTTTCTCAGAAATGAGACATTTTCCCGCGGTAAAAAGTATCCTATTGACCTAGATAACCCGCTATCACCATACCCACAGACAGACAGACAGACAAAAAATCAAAAAACTATACATTCGGCCTCTGTATCGATAATAATGTTTATTTCAATAAGATTTTCCAAAAAAAAAATTGAATGTACAACTTCGGCTTAGTTACAATTTTATTATATGTATAGAAGGTAGCTTTGTATGGTATCTTTATTTTTAATAGAAAACTTTGTTACTATTACAAAAGGGCTGTACCTTTGTTATATCTGAATAAATATTAGACGTTTATCTGCCAAGGCTTTTGATCTCCGTTTATGTTATTTTAGCGTCATACTGACCTACGTAAAACAGGACTTTCGAAGAAAGTTGCCTTTTTCACAGATCATTTACTTTATTGGGTAATTTACCTCTGTGTTTAGAAAGATTTATATTTTATGTCGCAAGTATCAATTTTAGCCATGGCAGAAGTTTCGTCCAGATCTCTTTTTAAAGTTTCACCTGATCTTCTTCAAATTATATGGTACTATCCGGCAAAGAATTCAAAATAGATGTTCAATATGTCGTACGGGGATACTTTGAATTTTGACTAAAATAATATTTTTTGAAAAGGTCGCAATAAATAAAAACATCCAGTGGAATAGTATCAAAGCACTATTAAAAAGAATATTTTTACAAAATTATCCACGCGTGTGTATAAATTATATTTACAACTAGCGACTCACCTTCGCTACGCTCGGGTTCGTCTCTACTTACGTTTTAAAGTTTAGCATAGATTTCTCAGAAATCAAATATTTTCCCACAATAAAAAGTATCCTATATGTTGATCCGGATAACCAGCTATCATCATACCAAATTTCATCAAAATCCCTCCAGTGGTTTTTCCGTGATGCGGTAACAGACGGACAGACAGACAGACAAACAGACAAAAATTCTAAAAGCTATAGATTCGGACTCTGTATCGATAATGTCTATTTCAATAAGATTTTCCAAAAAATATTTAATGTACAGACTCGGCTTAGTTACAATTTTATTATATGTATAGATTAAATAAATAATTTGCAAAATAACATTACTGTACATCTAAAACATCGTCCTATCATTTTCATGACCAACTCCATAACATAAAAATGAATTAAATGAGTTTTAATTAATCAGTGCTTTATTTTCTGTATAAAGATGTCGCGATTTGCTTCTAATATAAAATAAAGTATTGAAGTACTTTACTCATAAGATAATAAACTTATTTAATGATATTTAGCAAAAAAAACAAAGAAGCTAATTATTTCCAGGATTTTTTTTATTTATAGAGCATTGATTTGACTTTTTAATCTCTGCATAAAAAGATTTAACTGTCCATTTTTAGGGTAGACGTAATAAGCAGGTAATTTGTTGGAAGAAAGTTTTTTAATAACATGTTCGATTAAGCTATTTATTTAAAAAAATAACTTATTTGTTTATTTAAAATAACCGCTTGACCGATTTCGATAAAATTTATATGAGACTACCTGGGAAGGGAACCCTTTGTAACAAAAAAATCCAAGTCGGTTCAAGCGTCTTCAAGTAATCGGTGAATATACATAAAAAAAAGATTCCGACGAATTGAGAACCTCCTCGTTTTTGGAAGTCGGTTAAAAATTCTCCCTTAATTTATCTATATTAATTTTTCAATAATAAAAAAGTATACCAAGCCTGTCTTTGCTCTTCTTAAATAAGCACAAACGCTACTGTAACGCAGTTTTCTTACAATCCATCCCAACAACTCCAAAATTATGTTATTTAATGAAATTTAATTTGACTTCGTTACAAATTTTAAATGCCCGGAAGCCGTAAGCAATAAATCAAAGTAAGTAACATTTTCAAAGTCATTTACTAAATTACTAAATAACAATCATTTGTAGGTGTATTAAAAATAATTTCGAACAAAGATCAAATTCGTTTACATTGGGAAAAAAATTAATATTTACAGTGCAGTGTGCTGTAGTATCTTTAGTGTGAGATCTTAGGCATGATTTTTGCACTACGAGTATATCATTAAAATTTTTATTTCAAATGTATATTTTTAATAGATGTTTAGTTATTAATTTCTACTCCTTTATCCATTTCATCCTCATCCATATATATGTATATATATATTTATATAAATATATATATATATATATATATATATATATATATATATATATATATATATATATATATTTATATATATGTAAGTGTTACAACAAAAGTAATTTGAAGGAGTTTTTAAAAACTTCACAATGGTCACAATTTCGCTGCTATTAGTATTCAAACAAATCAACTAGAGGTAGCGTGAGGAGGGAAGTCACAATTTTGTAACATTTCATTCAAATTTTTACGCTTGGAAATAAATAAATATTTATATCAAACGCAATCTCATTTCTGTGAAATAAACTTTTCTTAGCAACAGATTCAAATTAAATAAATATTTACTACTGGTCTACGGCGTAGCGAGGGAATGTTCCTTTTTAAATGTATTTCCTTTGCGGGACCTGTTGATTAAGTTTATTCCTACTGTATTATAATGACGATACGCTTGGCTCAGTTTGTAGTGACGCTACTTGCTGTGCCAGCGGTCGCGTGTTCGAGTCCCGCTAGGGGCATTCATTTGTGTGATGAGCACGAATGTACTCCAGTCATGGGTGTTTATATTTATAATATATATGTATTTAAAGTTATAATATATATTGTATAGTTTATCAACTATCTGGTATCTATAACACAAGCCTTGTAGCTTAGCATGGAACTAGATAGTGTTGTGTGTTAATGTCCCAACATATTTATTCCTTGACTCTACCATTTAAAAGTAATAAGATGTGCTTAAACTCATACTTACCTACTTAGAATACTATATCAGAGATCAGTAGTCAAAGATTGAAGGAATAAATTAAAAACTTACTACATTATTTAACTTAAAGTCGAATTTATATTACGAAATTCGTGGCATACTTTGAAACCAACACTATCGCTGTGATCATGATTTCATCGGC